TCTGTAAAACAGGAAAAGGAAACATGATTTCCTCCAACTCCCTCTCCCCCTTTGCTGAAAGAGCTGACTCCTCAGTTAGACTGTTTTACAGTGAGTGCCAGTCTGCTATTCCCCTGTGTGGGGTATCAGTTAGAAATTCAGCAGGTCAGGCGGCACTTGTGGAGAGAAAAGTAACTAACATTTCAAGTCTAGAGAATCATTTTCAGTTTCCAATGTACAAGGGAGATAGTGAGAGAGAGAGAGTTAACACCAAATACAACACTGCAAGGAGAGAGATGGACAGACAGAGAGAGAGAGCGGAAAAGAGGGAGATAGAGGGAGCAGACCACAACATGAGGAAGCTGGAAGAAGTCTGAAAGTGACTTCACAGAAATATTGACAGTTGATTAATTGTTGAGCAACTACATCAGAGACTGTGTTTGAAATGCAGCAGTTTCCAGGAAAATTCTAAACAAATACCAAAAAAGGTAAAAATTTATAGGCACAGGAGAGCAAGGAGATTTGTGAGTAATGGTGAAGAATTTCTGCTTTCTCCTTATCTCCAGTTTATTGTTAATAGGAAAAGAGTGAAGTTAAAGCAAGTAAAATAACTGAAAACAATAAAGTTAGGGCATCGTAGGATAACTCAGCCAAGTGGAAGGGCGGCTGAAACAAGTGGAATACTTGTCCTTAGCCATGTGGGGAGTCATGGACATTTCTCATGACTCCAATGAGCCCATTTGCAGGAAGTGTGTCACCAGCTGCACAAGCCTGAGCTCCGGATTTCAAAGCTGGAGCAGAGGTGGAGTCACTAATGTGCATCCATGAGGGCAAGACGAGACAGATACCAAGTTCAGAGAAGAACTCACATTGCAATTTAGGGGCAAGCAGGCAAACAGGGAAGGACTGAGTGCCATGCAGTTCTTGTGAAGCAAGGCAAGGAGTGTAGGAATCCCCAGAGGTCCCACACAATAATCAGTTTTCCATTTGGTGACGGAGATGGATCTTGGCTGCAGTGGTGGTGGTGGGGGGGGGGGGGGGGGTGGGTGGGGAGTGGCAGACAGCAAGAGCCAAGCCCAAGGCACTTTGGGAGGCTCAGTTGTATAGCGGTGGAGGAGAAAGATGGAAGGCTAGCACTGCCAGGGAATTCCAGGGTAGGGAATCAGACAGGCATTTCTGTAGCTGTCAAGGCGACACCAGAATGGATTGTTGTCTCCCCGATGCCACAGTCAAGGATGTCACAGAGCAGATTCTTTAGGGAGAGGGTGAACAGCCAGAGATCATGGCCCTTATTGGTATCAAGTCTTAGATAGGAAGGGGGATGTGGGTCTGTAATCAGAATTTACGGAGCTAGGTAGTAAGTTAGCCAGGAAGGACCTCAAATTTAATCTCCAGATTACTCTCAGTGCCATCTGTGAGTACAGAAATAGGACAGTAAGGGAGACAAATATGTGGATGGAACGATGGTGCAAGAGAGAGGTATTAGATTTCTGGGACTGGATCTGGAGAAGATGGTACCTGGTTAAGATAGACAGGTTACACCGGAACACAGCTGGGACTGAGCTCCTTGTTCTGTATTTTGATCCTGCTGTTGGGAAAGCTTGAAACTCACTCCACAAGTGCATGGGAACCAGGAGAGAGTATCAGGAAGTAAAAACAGGATTCACAAAATGCTGAGGGAGGCAGTAAAACAGACTGTCATAAGTTATTAGGGAGTTGGAGTAAGGGAGAAAATAATGAAGTCTAAGTCAGATTTAAACTATATTACATGAATGTATGGAATGTATTAATTAAGATTGGGCAGTTACTGCCACAGTTTGCCACATGGAAAGATTGAAACACAGGAAATACGGGGAGTCAGCTATTCAGCCCTTTGAGCTAGATCCGTTATTCAACATGATCGTGGCTGATCAACAAACTCAGTATCCTGTCTCCGCTTTCCCCCATACCCTTTGATCCCTTTAGCCCCAAGAATGATGTCTAATTCCTTCTTCTTGAAAACATTCAATGTTTTGGCCTCAACCACTTTCTGTGGCAGAGAATTCCACATTCTCATCACTGTTTGGGTGAAGAAATTTCTCCTTATCTCCATCCTAAATGGCTGACCTTATATTCTAAGATTGTGACCCTTGGTTCTGAACTCCCTGGTCATTGGGAATATCCTTCCTACATTTATCCTGTCTAGAAATGTGAGAATTTTATAGGTCTCTTTGAAATCCCCCTCATTCTTCTATAAACTAATGAATATAGTCCTGACCAATCCAGTCTCTCTTCATATGTCAGTCCTGCCACCCCAAGAATCAGGCTGGTAAACCTTTGTTGCATTCCCTCCATAGTCAGAACATCCTTCCTCAGAAAAAGAGACCAAACTGTCCAAATTACTCCAGGTGTGGTCTCACGGAGTCCTTGTACAATTGCAGCATTTGTTCCTGTACTAGAATTCTCTTGCTTAGAAGACCAACAAACCATTTGTCCCACCTGCTGCAGTGAGTGGTGTGAGAACACCCAGATCCCACTGCACCCCCCCACCCCCCGCATTCTCAAACTATCACCGTTTAGATAATAATCTGCTCTCCTGTTTTGTTACCAAACCTCACATTTATACACATTATACTTCATCTGCTAAGCATTTTCCCACTCACTGAACTTGTCTAAAGTGAAGCATCTCTGCATCCTCCTCAGAGTTCACCCTCCCACCCAGCTTTGTGTCATCTACAAATCTGATATTATATTTCATTCCTGCATCTAAATGCACTTATTGCTGCAGTACCCCACTAGTCACTGGTTGTCATTCAGAAAATGACCCATTTATTCCTATTCTTTGTATGTGTAACAAAGACTGTCTTCTCAATGAAATCTGCACGGAGCAGATTGCATCACAATTATTTTAATCAACTTGTTCAGACATGTTATGACTCCTCCTCTTGAACCCAAGCATCGTAGCTTACAGGTCAGGACACTACCACTGCACTAGGGGACCTTCTAACTTTAACTGAAAGCCACATTTTGGAAGAACAGAGCAAGGCATTACTAAGATTCAAATTTAGGGTCTCCTGTTCATTAGACAGGCGCTTACATCCTAAATAATATAACCCTATAGAGGATCCCTGTAATTCCAAAGCGAGCACTTTCATAATAACACTTTGTCTTCTTTACCCCTTTCTAGGATTCAGTATACTTAGTGACTCAGCTCAAGTCCTGCCTAAATTCTATCATACTCTTTCCCCCATAAACCTTAAACAGTTGTTAAGTCCTCAAAGTTGAGGAATAGTTTGGTTTAAGGGCAGTATGTAGCATTTCTGTAAAGTGGTGGTCTGCTGAAACTGATTCAAGGAGGAAATGTGAAAACACCCAGAACAAGCCTGCCAGGAATTACCACGAACAGGCCATGGGTCCACTTAACGATGACCAATGTCAATCCTAGGTCACTTTGTTCTTGTCCCACTTTCACTGAAAGCATGAGTAGCAGAATCTGAAATTTGACTTACAATCATGAATCGCCAATAATAGAGAACTTCCTTTGAGTGTCCTAACTATTCAGATGCTTTTTACCATAAGAAAGGTGAGGCCTATTTAGCATAATTCAGTTGAAAATCTCAGAACCGTAACACTGAACTCATACCTCATTCTAAGAAAAGCTGAAGATGCACAGTTGCCCTGACCATGAAGATAACATGGTTTATTGGATGCTATCAAAAACGTCGGCTGAAGAGGGGACCCGAACTGCTTCCTAGTCCTTGGATTTGGTGGTTTGGCCAGAAATGGACTAAACAAGTGTAGACCAGTGCGGTGTTTAAGCTTCAAAAAGAACATGAATAATAGTAATAAGCTTTTTTTTCAACCTTCTTTCCTCAAGATAGTGACTATTGCTGGATTATGTTCTATGGTTTCCATCTACCCTCTGGTATCTCACCGAAGTAGCCATTTTAATGAACAAGTGGAGCCAGAAGAGAGGTAGGTAACAATTCATCCCAACTATCTCTGAAATAATCTCCCTTACAATCTACATATAAGAACAAGCATAGGCCATTCAACCCTTTGACCATGTTCTCACACTCAATTAGATCATAATAGTTGATACAACCAATAGAACTTCCAGAGTTTCCCAAATTCGACCTTTGTGCTGCATTGAAGCACAAGGGAATATCAGAGGGAGGAAATCATCTCTGAATTCTTCACTTCCTTGTGACAGTTTCCACAAGTGCTTGAACCTGGGAGGATACCAGGCAGCAGTGGGGGCTTTGTAGCTTGGGATGATGTGATTGGGCAAAAGGCATGCCCCCACCCCACAAAACCAACAAGGATTATTTATGGGTTAGAAACATAAAACAAAACTCAAGAATTAAACAGACTACAATAAAATCAGAACACACCTGATTGAACAGGTCGGTCATTCGATTCAAGTGCTTTTGGCGACTCTGATTAACTAGTTGCTGTCTTGCATCCCAGTGCTGCATGCTGGATTTTACACGTGCTTCAAGTCTGTTTGCAAATCTGTACAGATCCTCAGCAACCTCTTCATCCTTGCTGTTGACATCAGACATCCTGTTGTTCAAATAATTTCTTAAAGGAGAAAGAAAGACATAAAGATGAACGACTGAATCTGGTCCTGCACTTTAGATGTTCCTTTGCTTCTATTCTCTGTGGGCTGTTCTAAGCCCTCACTTTATGACACAATTGAGCTGAAAGACAGTAATTTATCGAGTTAATTCTTCCTCCTGACAAAGTGACTGAGACCTAGCATACACTAGGCAATGAAATCCACAGGGATATGCTACCAAAATTATTTTCTAAATTCTTTTCCAGGCTCTCTCTTCACTCATCTCCCAAAGACACCAACTCAGGCTTTAGTCTCAGGCATTTCCAGCACAACCATGGAAAGCACCAGAACTGAAAGCAACTGTAACCTCATGCACTTTTCAGCAATGGAGACAAGAACCTTTGTTAACCTTTTGACTTCTCTAGCCTCAGGATGTGAAGGTCCAGGATGGCATGCCAGAACCTATCCTGGCTGAAATCAGCTGACTCTGCACATATTTGGAATGAAGCAAGGGAGCTTCCGGTTTAAGCCATGCAATACTATATGGTACATTATAACAGAACACATGGATATCAGAAAAGTGGAGGAATAAGCCCATGGAGGTTCATCTCTTTCATACACATTTTGATAATAGCCAACTTTGGCTCTTTTTTCTACTTTTTATTTTATTATCCTGCCTAGGATTCACCAAGAGATTGGGTGAGCTTGTATTTATTTTCAGCAAAAATATGGTACAGGTACTATAGACAACCAAGATCAATAAATTAACAAGTGCACCATGAGCCTATTACCTAGAGCTAGCAATGCAAATTAATACCAAGTTTACATTACAATCTTTATTTGCTACAGCAATTAAGTTTCTTGCTTGAATCTATTACCAGTAGTCGAATGGTTCAGTGGGCAAATACAACATGGTTCTGTGCCATGCAAACTGGTAAAGTCCCATATTTAATACTTAATCTATGCTCACTGAGATGATATTAGGTAGGGCAATATTAGGGCTGCAATAAGTTGGATCAGCATCTTGGGACTCAGGAGAGGGGCAAGAAACAGCCTGGGACCTTATTCCTGATACCAATGACAGATATATGTGGGGTAAAAACAGAATTTAGTTTGGCTGTAATTCATAGCTAAGTAGACTGTTGACAGTCAAGAGTAGATTTTCCAAATGATGTCAATTTAATGTCTGCAGTAATCCATTTACTACAGTCATATCTATAAGAACTATCACGTGAAGAGCAGAAAGAGATGAAGATCTGAAGATTGCTGCAGACACATCTGAGGTAAGTCACTTTTTTTCAGGAGAAGGTGAATAATTGTGGGAAAAGGTATGGAATATTCCTAAGAAATAAATTACAAATAGTAATTTGGTAGTATAGAATATAAAATTTAAACAAATCTTAGCAGTTAACTGTCAGTCATTATTAACTGGTGTAGTCACAATAGAAATGCCTCCTCCAATAGGAGTCTACATGCCAACCAATCAGCACTCTCCACCCCAGTATAAATGTCATTTCCCCCTTACTTTGCTATTTTGTGTGAATTGCCCTGATAAGCATAAGACGAAAAGCTTTGACAAAATATGTCTTTTTTCAGCAATACTAAAGAAATTACACATCTAGCAGGTCTCGGAAACATCCAAAGGAATCGTACACCACAGATTTCAGAAATTGCTGTTATGTGGCGACAGACAGCAGCCATTTTACCTGTAGCAAATAGAAAAGACCCACAAGTAGCAAAGTCATGGTGAATGATTTTTTTTGTGTTGTTAGTTGAGGGTGGAATGTTGGCCAGGAATATACAATTCTTTACTACAAAGAATGCTATGAAATCCTTAGCATTCTTGGTTTTACCAAATCATTTGGAAGATGGCACTTCTCACAGGGCAAACTCCTTCAGTATTGCACTGGGAGTTTGGAACTGGTTTATATGATCAAATCCTGCAGTGGGGCTCAAAATCACAGCCTTCTGACTCAGAGGTGCCTCATTAAGTCAAGCTGACACTCCAATGGAAAACTTGAAACTTCTAACCAATTTTAAACATTCAGTATTTGTACTGATACTTATTATAAATTTGTACCCATTTAACCCAACAACAACTTTTAGTGAAAAGTATATTAGTCTGGTCAGATTGGTATCAACTACATCTTTTAATGACAGATATGCATCTACCTAAGTGTTTGGATATGACGGAAGGTGATGTACTTTCTGAATAAGTAAGCCAGTCGAAGCTGAACCGTAGTTAATGTTTGATGAATAAGATGAGTTGCTATGGCATGGAGTTGTCTGGAAATGATACCATTATACACTGCTTGGTCCAATGTTTTATAATTCGTTCTTAGGTATGTCACATTTACAATATACGATCCATCTACAATTTTGTTGGTATCAGCAGCCTGGAAGACCTTTCCCCTGGGTTGTACTGTTCTTTCTATTGTCTCTGATCCCATATTGGGCAGAAGAACTCCTTCCTTCTTAAAATATTCTGCCTGTAGTTTAATTTCCTTTCCTTTAAGCCCAAGGACATTATTGATAGAGTACAAATTCTTGGTTGCCTCTCGAATCCTAATTAACTGGTCCATTCCAGCACGAGAGGACATTTTCTCAAGTGTCAAAATTGTGTCCAAGGCCTCCAGGGTTTTTTCATAGAAGTGGGCTTCTTCCTGGGACATATTTTTGTCTTCTTTGGCCTCTTCAATGAAATATTGAATTTGGGCACTTAATTCATCAAGTGCAATCTCTTGAATGATACTGAATCTGGAAATTTCTTCAAGAAGTTCAGCTAAAGTTGTAAATTCAGGTTGTTCCTCCTTTAATTTCTCCACTTGGCTTTCCTTTGTTGGCACTAATACATGAATAGGTTGCTCACTATGCTCTTGCTTGGTGTTCTGCACTGGCTTGGCAAACATTTCTTTGAGTGCTTTCTCAATCACTCCATAAAGATTTTTTAATTCAGCAGACTTGAGAAGAGCTTGGACCTTACAGACGTCACCCGGAGAAAGTTCTTTGCCACTGCTCAGTCCGTGATCCAGTGAATACAAAACAGCAGTTTGAAAATCTGTCAGCAAGTCCGCAGCCATTTTCTTAGCCTTGGTCTTCAAAGCTTCTTCTTTCCGAGCAGATGCCCTCCGTTTCTTTTCTGCACTCATATCAGATTTATGCATCTTGCACTGGACGACTTCAGTAAGAACCATCTCCGGTTTGGGCTGAGTTGTGGGAATGATACTTCCATTGGACATTTCTGTGGGAATAGCTTTCCCTTCAGATTTTTCTTTGGGAATGTTTCCTTCCTTGGATACTTCTAGGATAGTCTGTTGTTCCTGAGGTTCTGCAAATGAACTTTTCCCTGTTGTGGATTTTATCCTTTGTTCGTCAAGTCTATCATGCCCATCAACAAGAATATTTTTGTGCTCCTTACTAAAGGGATATTTCCCCCTGAGACTTTCTACGGGAATGATTTTGTCCCTTGACTTTTTCACAAGCGTAGTTCTTTTATTTGTTTTGGGCGTCTGCTTTGTTTTTATTTGCATATCATCAGATGGAGACAAATTTTCAGACGTGATTTGCTCATGAGAGACTGTTTTTTTAATGTTTTGTAGTTGTGCAACTTTGGACCTCAAAACTTTAATGGTGTTTTCCAAATTGTAGTTGGTGCTACATGCTTCCCTGTAATGATGTTCTGCTAATTCAGCACGTGTTTTAAGTGCATTACTGTGCTCTCGGAGGTGTTTTAGCTCGTTCACCAGATTATCTTCAGCACCCTGGGAGCCAAATGAATCTGACTTTCTCAATTCATTTTCCACCTCAAAATATTCCTGTGACCGAATGTGAAATGCTTTGTGAAGATTCTCTATAAATTTCCTGATGTATCTGAAAGCAATTGTCTGGGCTTTCTTGCAAGGAGGAGATTTTGCAATGTCTGTTAGTATCATATCAATCTCTCCTACTGCGGCACCCAACTGTTTTGCAATGTTTGGTTCCACCATTTTCGCTGTACTCATTGGCTGCATATCCAGGAGCTGCATGAGTGTTTTGGGATCCATCTTTTTCTCCCTCCACCATTTCAACATAGTACCTTTACCATCAGGTCCTGCAAACAATCACAATGTAAGACCAGTTACTGTACACTATCATATATCATGTTCCAAAACATTTTGAAAGTGTTGTTATATCAATACAAGTCTTTCTCTTTCTTTCAATCAAAATCAGATAGTGTAATTTTACTTGCATTTTGATTT